GATACTCTAGCTGCTCATATGTTGAAAGTCCTCAACCCGACATTGCGCCGCAACATGTTGCAAAGTCACAACATGAACCATGTGATTTCTGTAAAGCTATAGACGAAATACAAGAACCGCCAGCAGTGATTAAGTATTGATACCAGCATGGAGCGCCACAGAGCCTCCAACATGATAGCGGAGAACTCTCGGGAATCTGTGAAGACAAACTCCACGGCTCGATAACGCTCCTTTTTCCTACTTAGTGTCTCTTGCACGGCTTAACTCCCCCCCTTTTACCTGCTTACTTACCCAGGCTTTCTTTTGGCTCTGGGTCTCCACATCTAGGAACCATGCCTCTTCCTTGAGGATTCCTCCTACACCTTAAACCCTCTATAACCCCATTATATCCCATTATGATAGTTTCCATTTTATTTTCCATTATCCCAATATATCCCCGCTAAAAACTCTCAACCCCTAAACCCTAAATCCCCATATATATATATATATCCCGTATAAACCCTCTTAAACCCTCTATAATCCCATCTATAGTAGTCTCAATTTTTTTCCATTGTCCCAAGTCCCCCAAATATCCCCTATAAACCCTCTTCGCTGCAGCAATTTCTTGGATCAGCTTTGCTGTGCTCGCCTCTCGCCATCCTCTCGCACGTCGCGCCAGGCGCGGGGCGGTTTCAGGGTCTTGGATGATTGCATTTGGGTTGCGTACTATGGTCTGGGCTAGGGGCTTATAGGGTCTAAGGAGGCTTAGGATTTGTGCTTAGGGTTTTGGGGTTTAGGGTGTAGGGTTTGAGGCTTCGGGCATGTGCTACATTTAGAGGGGTTTTTAGGTACATAGGTTCAGGGTTTCAGGGATGTTGGGCTGAGTTTATGCTGTTGGCTGGCGGAAGCTCAGAACCCAGGTGCTCTCAGAGGTGTTTACTTTGAAGCCCTTCCTAGACCCCCTAGTATGACCCCCAGAATCTAGAAAACTAATCATAGAATCCGCACATTATTCAGGAGATCTAACTGTTATATGTCCTTGGGGGCCTGAGTTACGCAGAGGTCAAAATGTAGAAGCTTCAATAAATGTAAATGCTATTCCTTTTCCTATATAAACCTTGTATTTCTTGGGTACCATGCCCCAAATCCCCATTTCAAGTGTTACCCTGAAGCTTAAACTGTGCCCCTTCAGTACTTGCTGCCTCTTGCGGAGGGCACACCCTTTACCTTACCACCTCTGGGCGCAGAACTCCGCTGATCAAAATTAATGGCTGACCACGAGCCCTATCTGATTTAGGCTTTAGGGTTTAACTGTAATGCCAATTACCTACAGCTTAGTAGTAATTACCCCCCCTACATGAATGGGCATAACCCATAAAACTGTAGTTAATTGGGGTATAGGGTACCACTCCGCTGGACCTGGTAGTGGATTGTGGATGGCAGCACCACTTAGTATCCCCAAAGTACTGTAACCAAGATTCTTCCATCCACGCTAGATTCTCTCCTTTGTTAGTCATTATTCGCCCTAGCTAATTAAGGGAACCTTGGGCCTAAACCCTAAACATGATAGTTGCATCATGGCTAGAACCAGAGGTGTGGGGAGAAAGGTACCTCACAACAGGTGACAGTGATTGAAGATCCTTGGTATACTGCTGTTGCAGAGTTCCCACAACCTTACACCCTAAGTTCCGAAGCCCAAAAGCCAGAAACATAAGTCTTAAGCCTTCAGAAAGCCTAAAACCCTCCATATGAAGGACCATGGCCCGTATCGCCGCCTTGTTCGCTCTGCCTATGCCGCGTGGCAGAACTGAGCTTAGTGCTTTGGTGGTAATTTGAAGTGCGCTTGAGTAAACGAAGCTACGGCACGAGGTGTAAGGGTCACACAGGAGACCTAGCATCAACAAAACGGAAGCTCAGGCTAACCTTTGTGCTAGGGTTCATGGGGGTCTCAAAGTCAGTTCATTTTGGGCATGCTGCACAAGAATGGGGATCTGATTCCCTTCGCGGCCAATTTACAAGCCGTTCTTGCAAAGGGTTGCTTTCGAATTTTGCTGGAGGAAAGCAAAGGCTTGGATACAGTCTCAGGAAACTAGCACTCAGGCATAGTTTGCCGCTTGTCGACATCTGTCGGCATATGCAAATGGGTAGAGCAATCTCATAATTGGCCACTGAACCTAGCTGAGGGGGCGCAGCTACCCAGACCCCCTAAAGGATCCAAAAATGGAACCCCCAATATGAACCCATTACTACATTGGGGAAACTAGGGAATTATTTAGGGGTTCCATTTTTTGGATCCTTTAGGGGGTCTGGGTAAGTGAGGGGGCGCAGCTATAGAAAGGTGTCTACCTGAGCTCAATCTCCTTCTCACGATTCAGGGTGTTTTGTAGGGTTAGTTCCCTGGCGCATGTACTCATAACCTCGACTACCTACAGATTAGTAGTAATTTCCTCCCTACCGAATGGGTAGAAGACATAAAGCTATGGGTAATTGGTCTTACAGGTCTGTTTTCTGAGAAGCCCCAGATAGAGCAACATCCAGTTGAGCCTATCCGAGCCCCAAGAGTACGTATATTTTTTGGGCGGGCCTTGCTTGTTGGGTCAGGGGGACTAATGGGGATAAGTGGGGTTACTCTATGGCTTATAGGAGTTATTCAGCTAGTTACTAAGTCCCCCTGACCCTCCAAGTAGTTTTGGCTGTTTTTGTGAGATGCAGGAAGGCTCCTTTAGATTGGTTGAATGCGAATGGCTGAGGCAGGGACACTTTGTCCAGCTTGGTTACGGTTTAGGGTCTAGGCATTTTCGCACATGAGGGTTTGTGAGAATTTGGGGGCGGGAGCTTCAATAACGAGAACTATGTTAGTGCGGGGTTCAGCACGGGGACCTTAGTGTTGGACATGCCAATATATACATTCTCGGATACCCCTAGGCCTAGAGGTAACTTTTTGTTCAAGGAAGTCACATACACTTGGTTGAGGATGTTGTGCACCACCATATAGTGTTTGTTTCGGGAGTTGGCGTGTAGTGGCCTAACCCTAAACCACTTCACCGCTACACTCCAAGCATCCTAGGGCAGAATCTGCGGTGGAGTACCAAAGGGCTATCATATGCATGTGATTAATCTGTGAGAAGTCGCTCCGCCCACCATAGAAAGTCAAAAACCAGGCTCGCCGCCGCAGGCACGGGAGGACTTCGAGGATCGGAGGGTTTCAGGGCTTTAGGGCTAAGGATTTCTTCAGCTCCAAACTTTGAATCCTTTCTGCGGACAAGGATCATAAGGCGTGGCCCAGTCAGCAAGGGTTTAGGGTCTTAGGATTTTCGGGCTTCTGAGTTCAGGCTAAGGGCTGAGGATTTTAAAGCTTCGGATCGTAGTATTGCTTCGTAGATAAGCTTCTAGGGCCTAGGGTCTGGGAGTTATGATTATGTGAGGTGGGGTCGTCGCCATGCTTTTGGTAGTGTATGCGGCGTTTTTTACGGGTGCTGGTGGGTGGGTTTGGGATGCAGGTTTTAGGGGGTACATGAAGCATGCCCGTCTTGGGGCAATGGAATGTGGTTGAACTGTCAACGGGCATAATGACCCACTCGTCCCCTTAATATTTCTGAACTTTGGTATTGGGTTTCCGATACCCAAGCTAAGGCTATCTGCCATAACTTAGAGGTCCAAACCCAAGGGCCCAAGGGTACATACCTCTAGGGTACAAAGGAGAACTCCCTGAGGGTCTGGCAGGATGTTTCAAGTTTCAAGAATCATTGACAATCCCTAAGGGTCCAAGGACCCAAATAGTATGGTTGTAGGCCCAAATTCTATAATATGAATGGTATTTGGGCCCTAAAACCCTATTATTTGGGTCCTTGGACCCTTAGGGAATGCTCCTTAGCTTTGAAACTTTGGAAGTCACTTCAAAGGCCCCAGAAGGCCGCATGATGCATGTCACCGGCTTTCACTGTAGGGGGCATTTGCAGCATTGTTGAAGTATGTGCTGCAAAATATCTGAAAGTTTCCAAAACATGCAACTGCAAGTATGTTTTAGATTGTACACATCCCCACAAGTGCGGCGTAAGGGCCTACTGCTTTCTGAGCTTTTGGCTTTTCACGTTTGTCATTGAGCGTTTCAAGTGTTGCGGGGACCCGAAAGTATAGGGTTCAGAGTGTTCAACCTGAGGATAACTTCCCAAACCCGAAACCTGAAACCCTTGTAGCCTTGCAATAGGAAAAGAGCGCCAGGTGAGTCGTATTTTGTTTTGGAGATACCAAGGTCCACAATATAGAGTAAGACTTATATCCTCCTTTGGGCATGGTATTTTCGAAAGAATGTAATTTTATTGGATTCAAGCCCCAGAGAACTGTTACTCATGTGTTGTGTAGATCTTTCTTAGCCCCTAGCTTCGTACACTACCATCTTTCCGCGATCTTACGTCCGGCGAAACTCTATGAGCCAAAGTTTAGGGGTTTTGGGCTTGAGGTGTTTTCTTTGCCGGTAGCTCACAGTTTGGCTCGCGTATCATCCGCAGACGATCAGAATATTTCATCGCACAAAACCCTATTCCAAGTATTACTAGGGAGCCAATAGGCCGTCCAAGCAGTAAGACCTCAAACCCAAACTCCCAAACGTGGTTCGCGTTGAGTGCGCTTCGTTTGTTTTCATAGTAATTCAAAGTTTGGCGAACAGCCCACCATCTGTTCTCATCAGGCTGTAGATGTATCACGGTACAAGTATCAAAGCGTCCATTTGGCTAGTGAGGCTTCCAAACTCCAGTCATACCTACTGAGAGCCTTTGAGCGTTAAACCTGGTGGCCGGCACTTTTAGGCTATGAAGTGTCATCATCCAAGCGCCAAAGGTTAAGCAAAGATCTGTAAAAGGCAATTCTTCCTAGAAACCGTGAGAATCAGTAGCTGGAATAAGAAAAGAACAGAAATTAGTGGCAGACTAACATGGGCGCCCCTCGCAGTACCTGCCTACGAAGACAGTAGTCTTCACAGGGGCTGCATGCTAGCTTTCGGAGGGTAGTCGCTTTCATCCGCCATGGACGCGTGGCTGGAGTTTATTGAGAAGGTGGGCATCATTTCTAAAAAATACTTCAGTGCCCAAACCACAAAGACTGATACTTTTGATCCTTGAGTTTTTTTTGGAGTGCTTAACATTGACCACATGTAAAGCTTCGAGGGGCCCTTAGTTTTCCCTTGTAATCCTTGTGCTCCTCCTCCTCGTTGAGGGTCAGGCAGGGCTAGGCGCAAGTCACATCCAGGTAGTATCCTATGGTCTATTTAGTACGAGTTTGAAATGATATTTCTGTTTCGTAAGATGCCTACCTAGGTTGAGGATAGCTCATCTTAGCTCATTCAGCCTTTTCCGGCCTTCTAGGGTTGCATATTTTAGGAATGGGTTAAGGCTCAGCCCCACGTGCAATACTAGTGATATGATAGGAATGTAGGAAGGTATAAGGGCCTTGATAGAGTGACCAGGATCGCTGGAGGTCGCCAGCAGTGGTTGGAGTCTCACGCCAGGTTTAGTTTCGGGTTTCTTCCGAGACTCTGTAGGGGAATGACAGGGAAGGCACTTCAATGCCACGTCTAGAAATAATGCAGCTGTCATTTCTGAAGCCTTGTTCCTCCATTTCTTCGCCTCTTTACTTTCGTATGTTGAGTCACGGGCAAGATGCAATTATTTTACAAACGTGCTTGTATCTTTGCAAGTTGAGCTTGGGCTGTTTATTTGCAACCCGCTCCTCGTCCTAGGATGAACAGTAGAGGTGCGGCTCATGCACTCTAAACCCCCTTGGCCTAAATGCCTCGCCCCCTTCAGGTGCCGCCGAAGGCCTTCATTGTCGCTGGGGCATTTCTCAGGCTGTTTCTTATTGCAGTGGCGGAGGTCCAAGACTACCTTGCTGAGGTGGAACCGAGGTTGAGGGTTTTTTGAACTTGGCTTCAAGATTTCCAGTTTTGAGCCTTAATCCCCGGCTTGAGTCCTTTACAGTCCGCCTCAAGTAGATAGAATATGGGGTATATGGGGATCTTTTTACACTTCAGGGGGACTATATTTCTTTGCAGCGCCAAGAAGGTGCCGTACACGGATGTGGACTACCAGGTCTTCACCGATGCCGCCGAGTCTATGGCGATGGGCATGAGCCCGTGCCTACGTAGAATTTTCACATCAGACCTTAAACCCTAGAGATTCTCAAAATCTTGGGATGAAGCTACCAAACAGCGTTTCGCTCGGGATTTGCCAACCTCGACCCCCGTCTGCCAAGATGGCTGCCATTGCCCCTCCACTGTTGAGACTCCCCTACTCTGGGTCATTGCTGAATTTTTCCGGCTTTTCTATTATGTTAAATCCTCATAGGGGAGTGTAATGTTATACTAGCATCTCAATCCGGAGCTAGAAACTGCATCTAGGTATGAAGGCCGTACAGCCCTACTAGCCGCGGAAGCTACTCGATATCGTCGCTTGGCCACGCATCGCAGCTTCTCAATCCTGATGAGCCGGAGGGGTTGGGCATTATACATGATGTTTAGTGTTTAGCATCCCCATAGATGAACTGGGCCTCTTCGGCACCATGACTGGTGCTCCTCGTTAAGTTGCTATGCCTGCACCCCAGCCAACTCATGAATCCCACCGGAAAACGTGGAAACCTGGCACCAGTGTATTCTACTAGATTTCATATCCGACCTGCCAGAGACGTAGAGAAACGGGAACAACGAGCAGTTGCGTACCCGTCTCTGCGGCTCAGACTGAAGCGATTTGTCCGCGAGCCCTGTACAAACGACTACTGCCGCCATGAGCTATTCGTCGGAGTCGGAGGAGGAGTGGGGGTTAAGTGGCTTGGGTTGGAGGGGTTGGTGCACTTCAAGCTGCGAAAGAGGACTGGGCTACTTGGGTGGAGGAAGAGGAGGAGGATCTCCTCGCCTACGCTCTGGCATTGGAGAAGGGGCCGCGAAGCCCAGCTGGTTCGGACAATGCCGCCTCAGTTGCTGGTGAAGCCGGTAAATTGCATAGTGTGCTCGTATATCGATTGCTTTCAGATCGTGGTGATGCAGGATGTGCCTCCGCAGGTAGCTAAGGAGGCATCCTATCTGATTGTGCATGGCGGCGCCTCTAGATTGCTGCGCTGCCAGACCGTGGGAATCGTGTTCGAGCGTCTTGATGGCCGCGAAGGGCATGGATTCAACGGTCCCGAAGAGGACCTGGAGGCCTCCGCACAGCCTGTCTAAAACAAGAAGTGGCCACCTTTTTTGACAGCAGGTCGTGTTTTCAGGGAGTGCAATGAAAAAAAGAAAGTTGCTTTTGCCCTGCGGGATTTTTTTGGCTCAAGTTGTGTGATTCAGCCAGCAGCCTTAAAAATACTTGGCTTTGTGGATAGGGAAAGCTACGGGATTGTGCCCCGTCTGCTCTGCACTACGATTATTCTCCCCTACTGATTCCGGTTCTGCGTGGCTCAAATTACAGTCCCTGCCAAATGTTTGAGAGCCCCATATACAAACCAACTAGAATTTACTTCCCCATAGCTAGTTAACGGCTCAGTTTCGCAGAGAGCCCAGAAATTAGATGGCGGGCTGCGCAGGTGATGGATCCAAAGCATGGGGCCTAAACCTACCCCCAAAGTTTAAGCTATAGACCCTAAACCCCGAGCCTTGAGTAGTAGCTTCAGTAACTGCCATTTTCTTTTCCACTATCCCTGAACCCTAAACACTATATAGCCCCCACTATAGTAGTCTCCATTTTCTCTTCCATTATCTATCCACCCCATGGCCAAGGATGCACTCCGCTGTTGGCCTTCATCACCCTAATATAACCCCAAAAATAGCCCTAATATAGCCATTATAGAACCTCAAAATAACCCTAATATCACCCCAATAAAACCAAGGATACACGCCGTTGTTGGCCTTCATCTTGCTTCCCAACACGTGGCTCCACAAGGCATGGGGAGTCTCGACTGCGTATGTTGGGGATACTGGTTGGACATATATATATATTGGGATAATGGAAAAGAAAACGGAAACGACTTACTAGGGTTTTAGCCGGTTAGGTTTTTTGTCTCAGGGTTCAAAGTTGAGGTTTGAGGTTTAGGGTTTAAGCAGGACTTGGTTTGACAGTTTTGAGTTTGAAGAGTTTTTTGAGTCTGAATTTTTTTTGCAGGTCAGAAGTTACCAGGTGCGTGCCCTCATGATAGCTGCCCACGGGCCAATGTCGTTGACTGATATGACGTAGCTGAGTCTTTTCTGCGCTTTGAATCAGGCTCTTTTTCTAGCATACCTCCACGATCATCATACAACCCGGTTCGCGGAACATGAGGAACCCGTAAAGCATAGCTTTGCCGACCATGCTGTTCAAAAGGGTTCCCCAGACCCCCTAAGGGACCCAAAAAATAGGACCCACTTATAATCCCGAGTTTCCCCATGTAGTCATAGGCTCATATTGGGGGGTTCGATTTTGGGGATTCTTTAGGGGGTCGGAGTCCATACATACAGCAAACCATAAGAAGGGAGACCCTTTGGGGTCCTCTGCCGATAGTCCGTCCATCTGAGCTATAGTTTAAACTCCTTAAAAGGGTTTATATAGGGGGTTATCTATGGGTGTATCAAAAGGGTGATGAAGGGGGATACTAGGAGCTTACGGTATGGCTCATGTTGTATCAGCGCAACAGAAGAAGAACATCCGGCGCGCCGCAGGGCTCTAAAAACGTTTCTGGGGGGCCGGTATAAAGAACACTTTACCAGGTAATGTACACGCACTCAAATTTGGCGGTCTTAATCTGAACCCGAGTACGCTATTATCTGTGTATTTGGGATTATAAAGCCGCGGCCGCTGATCTTTGGAAGCCCCTACGTATTTCCGTACTAAGGCTTCGATGTAGGAAGCTGTTAGAAGGCATTGTCATCAAAAGCGTAGTTTGGCACCCAAAAAGCAGATCACAGGCCGACAACTTACATGTGGCTATCACGGGATGAAGGAATGGACCCTTTTAGTAGTCCTTATAATAACATCCAACGTAACATCGTAAGTTCCTCCATTTTCTGTCCCATTCCTCCGTTTCCTGCTCACTGGAGGTAAGTAAACGACCAAGGAAAGCTCCTCTTTTCCAGCTTGGACGTGGTTGCTGCCTCCCTGTCGCTCGGTGGCTGTGCTTGGAGCTCCCACTTATAGTTTACTGGAACGAGGAAGGGTAACCTCAAAGTTCCTTCAAGGGGCCCTAAACCCTGAACCCCAAACCCTAAACCCCAAAACGGCTACCATAGGCCAGTGTAAACACCAGTAAGCTTCCAGCATCAAATCCTGAGCCCTTACGTTGGTGCGCTGTGTTTCTTACAAAGTCTGGCGAAACCGGTCATGTCCGTATCCGAAGCTACCTGATTTTTTGTGTTTTGTGTCCTTTATAACTTCGGGTGTTGTTGCAGACATGTGCCCTGGAACTCTTGGGAAAGTTTTTTGATCATGAAGGCAACATCTCGAATTTAGAGATCCTGTTGTTTGTTGGGTTTTGGCGGATTCAGGGTTGTTTTTCTGACTCTTCATAGCTCTTGTGTTTGCATTGGCAATGCGAAATAGGAGCCCGTATGATTGCAGACAGGCAGCCCTTTGCTGAAAGCTTGCTTCTCAGCCATTCCTAGTCTCAGGCCCTAATTCCAACACACGTGTTACTAATTATTGCGTATGACTGTTGTTAATTTGTGCGGACCACATCCCAGGTTGCAAGCTTTTCTGCAGCACAAAGGCTCCAGCTGCAACCTGGGTCGCTCGGTTTGGGTGAAGAACTCTACTTTGAGCCTGGGTATTGATGAGGGGGTGTTCCAATAGTTGTACCTACTTGAAATCACACATTTAGCCGGACCTACCCCATGAACTCGAAGCTTCTAGAACCCATTACTACGGTAGTTTCCATGTTCCTTTTCCACTATCCCAACTTTGGGGATAATGTTCCTAGATAATCCTAATATATTCTATAGTCTAAACTCATTAAAGGGGGTTATATAGGCATTATATAGGCGAGCACTATAGGGGTTATGAAGGGGGATACTAAGAGTTTAGACTATATCCCTTATAATCCCCTGTATCATCCCAGTTTCCATTTTGTTTTCCATTTGATTCTCCATTAAAGGGGTTCTTAAGGATAATGTTCCTATATAATCCTAAAGGTCTCAGAAGCAGACCGAAGGCTTAGCCTTGTGGCTATTCAACCCTTTCTGCTTCACAATCTCCACACGCGGCAGTGGCGAATCCGTGGTTGTGGTGCTCATCTACGTGGCTCGGCCTTTCATGCTGGAAAGTTTGAAGCCTAGATACCCCAGTAGTACCCTTTTGCCCTTTTTATTTGGGGTCTCCTCAATAAAGCTGAACAGTAGGACAAAGGGTACCCTTACTATTCATGGGTTACTGGGGAACCTAGAAGCTTAGCAGGGCTGTTTGTTTCGCTGTTGCTGAGATGTTGTCTTATATGGTGCCGGCACAGAGCGCATTTTGTGTAGTCAGCCACCTGCGCTGGCACTCTCCTGCCTATAAGCCGAAGCTCAAAACGAATCCGAACTTAAGCCTGATATTGAGCAGCTTAAAAGGTAACCTACGCAGCGCAAAGCTCAGGTAGTCATCTACTGCTTAGAAGTGCGTCAGAACTGGTTTCTGGCAGCTGTGTGTTATGGCGTTGCCATTCACTGGAGAATATACCCGGCAGTATATGCACTACCGATCGCCATCTTCCTGGTGGGCTCCGGACAAATCCAGATCCTGAGGATTTGGAGAGCGCATTTTTTGCAAGTTTCCGTGGCTGCGGCCAATTGCATTCCACAACTATTACCTGAAAACCCTAACCTTAAACCCTAAACCCCAATTCCATGAACCTTCAACAGGTACAAACGAGAACCTCCATATAGCATGGTCAGTCGGACTGCCACTTTAGCTCTTTGCGTGAGAGACCCTACTTGAGAATCCTCAATCCTAGAAACCTCTTATGAACTGTAGTCTGAACACCTGAAAGGCTGGTTATATAGGGGATTATTATAGGGCTTATTAAGGGGAATACTAGGACCTTAGACTGTAGCTCATATAAACCCCGGCCCCCCCAAAAAAGTGCTTGCAGCCTAGGAATCTACTGCGTTTGGTGGCCTTTGGCACTGTGTCAGCTGCAGTTCTCTTTGGGCTGGGGCTGATGTGCTATCAGTTCCTTGGCCAGCCGGTAGAATCTGGCTTTGGGGTATATTTTAATCAGATCCCCATATACCCCATATTCTATCTGCTTAAGGGGGACTGTAGGACTACCCACAGCCTGAACCCCCCAAGGCTAGGGGAGGTTACTTGGGGTCAGGAGGGGACTTAGGGACCTAGGAAAGAGGGTAATCATGATGAGTCTTCGTCATTACATGGCTTAAAGGGATCACACGTTTACTTCCTAAGCCAAAGCAGCCAAGCTGTTCCTCTATTTGCTTGCAAAGGCTGAATTTTCCTTGCCGGGCTCGTTTGACAAGAATTGGGGGGGATTCCCGGGGGTACTAAGACTTCTAGTGTTTTGGGGTCTATATCGGGTTCCCCTATTCATGAAAACTACCGCTTCTTTTCTGTAGTTAGTAGCTACCAGCTCTTTCACAAAACCTTTCCTGTAGACTCTAAACTCTAAATCTTGTGAACTGCATACACATCCCTGTTAAATCCGCTGCCGGCCACCCGCCGAAGCGTTCGAAGAAGCACGTACTGTTGAAGGTGGAACACGCGGAGACGTTACAGATGCTTATGATGATCATGGTGATAATGATGATGAAAGTGATGATAAACGGGTTTGCCCATGTGCGCTGAAACCAACATTATGATCTCCACAGTTTGCTGTCCTTGTCTTCCTGCGCAACACGTAATTCTTCCTGCGCAACACGTAATTAAACGTCGCTTTACAAAAGGGTACTTTCCTCAACACTAAACAAAATCTAAGCTTGACACCTTATCCGCGTACTGAACCTCCTCCTGCCAACGCGGCCGAGTGAAGTGTTCTGCGCTCTTCCTTCTGCCTCGTGCAGGTCTGGGGTACAGGACGGTTTACCGTTTAAGATTTAGGGTTCAGGGCTTAGGGTTCAGGGTGTGGGTGGTTTACAGAATTGTGCGCCCTTGCTCTTGCTGTCTCCACCTCATTTTACAGCATCTATTTTTTTGGAAAACGCGTATAACAAAACATATAGCTTATCCTATGTAAGCCGTATCCGTGCAATGTGCTCGAATGCCGACAGGCTTCGCTGGCTACTTTCTTAGGACTTCTTCAGCGGGACCTTCGAAAAAGGAGAGCCTGCAGAACGCAGACAAAGCTAAAGCTTGAACCACGAAGCCATGCAAAAACTGCAATAGTGTAAAGAGGGAGGCCTTTCAAAGTGCATCCTAAACCTAGGTTTCTGAACCCATAACAGCGACAGAAGGCTGTATGGATACGAATTTCTGGAATGCTCCTATCTACATCATGGCAGACGTCGAGATCCACAGCACAACTTCTCTGTCTCGAGGCTGAAGTCCCTGGCTTCAGGGCTTAGACCTTGGCTTAGGGTTTAGGGCTTGACGGTTTAGGGATGTTTAGGGTTTAGGTTGTAAGGTCCCCAAAACAAGTCAAGGTATTAACATGGTTTCTGTTCAGGGTTTCAGTTGCAGGTCTCTGTTCTAGGGCTCGCGGAGTATGAGGGACCTATGCAAAGACGTCTGAAGCTTAGGTCTACTTCTATCCCGTGGCGCTTTACATGGAGGGCGCCTTTCAGGGCCAAGTTCCTGATGTTGCACGCTACGCTGCTCTTCCACAGAAGCTGGGCAAAGAGTTTGAGCTTCATCGCCTGCCCCAAATGGTGGTTTACATGGGCAATTTCCCTTCAAAAGGTTAATCTAGGCCCTGGATGCCTTGAAATCTAAAAGGGTCTACCCAGACCCTCCTATGTAGTTCCCTTTTGGGTACTATATTATAATCCCTTACCCCAAACCCATAGCAGACCCAAAAAGGTACTAGATTGGAGCCCTTGGGTAATCCCAGCTCAGTGAACTCGACTTCTCCATCGGGTTTGGGGTTTATGTCGACCTTTGGCCTCCCGGCAGAAGCTCCGAGACATGAAGCTGAGTCCCCCCTGAAGTAGATAGAATATATGGTTTAGGCTTTAAGGTTTAGGCTTTAGGGTTTAGGCTTTAGGGTTTAGGCTTTAGAGTTTAGGATTTAGGGTTTAGGGCCTAGTCCTCCTAAAGTAAATAACCACCCCTAGATCCCTGTCTGCGGCGTGGCTTCCTCAGCTCTCGCAGAAGGAGTCTCCTGCACAGCTTCCCAAGGAGCCATGTGTAAGTTTCTCAAAAGAGGGGGCCCCTGGCCCCTAGGGTTCAGGGTTTAGGGACCCTATGGGTACATAGGGGTCAAAAACCGAGTACGGGGGTCCTTATCGGGGATTATTGCTTACTTTGGCATTATAACCCTCAACCCTAAACCCTGACATCAGTTAAAAAACAGGCTGACGCCCTAATGCTCAGTCCTGATGACCCAAACCCTTTAATCCCGAAGAGCAAAGCCCTGAATGAGCTCTGGAGACAACCCTCACAGTCCCTATGTAATCCCTGTAAATCTCTGGGGTCCCCAACACGACAGCTATTTTGAGAAGTGATCGCCCCTAAATCGCCTGGGATAGCTTCCTTTTTGGCACTTTCTTGCCCCCTCAACCAACTTACTGGTCGTTAGCAGGGACTATGGGAATACAATCCGTACATAGTCCCTATACGATGTATGCCTCTATTCCTTATGAACCACAAGTGAGTAAGCTAACCATAAGAGAACACTCAGATCAGAATACCTGAAGCCTTAAAATTAAAGTCCCTTAACGCAATAAAACAACCCTCAAGCCTAAAACTCTGAGCCTGCTAAAAGCGAGCCAGCAAGAAGCTGTCAATAGTTCGGGGAGCAAAAGCCGAAGCCCGGAACCCTGAAACCGTTTAGGGTTTAGGGTTAGTGTTTAGGGGTAATTGGAGGGTCAGAAGGACTTGGTTAAGTAGGCTATTGATGGGAGAACGGGGCCCCTTAGGGGCAATAAGCTAAAGTATGCTTACAGAATCCTCCACGCCTGGCACAATGAAACCCCAAGCCCCTCCAAGTCAGGATTTTTCTCTGTGCCTGTTTTGGTGCTTCCACGCGGGCAGGCCTTGCAGTCGCCATGCTCCTGCAACTTTCCGGAACAGTTTAGGGTTTAGGGCTTGGATCTATGATCTTTCGAGAGTAGGCTCCGTTTCCTTTCCGGGTGGTTTCGGCTTTGGGGTTTAAAGGTTTAGGGTCTAGGCTTCATAGGGTAGGGTTCAGTGCCTAGGGTTTGGTGTTATGTGAGGCTTCGCCGTGACAAAGGAAAACCGTGATGACCCAAATAGAGCCCAACATGTTAGGCTTTTTAAGTAGAGGTCCAGATGGCTTCTTTTTGATGTGTACATTGGGATTTAATAGTTCTCGGGCTCTTGCTGAGACATCGTTGACACCACACAGGTTCCATTTGATATCTTAATACTATCCCAATCAGGACCAGTTTTCGGGTTGCATGCTTGGCCTGCCGGGGGGCAATGTAGACGGGTTTTACCCAGACTGGTTTTTGCACATGACCATGTAATCCCTTCATGCTAATATTCAACTGAATTTGCCGCCCATCATATAAGTTCTGGTATGGGGAATGTTTGGTATTATCAGCTGGGGTGTTCAGCGTTAGTATGAGGGGATGACTTCTTGAAGCGTTTAGGGTTGATTAGGGCGCGGGGCTTATATATGGTCCTAGTAATAATGTCCAACTTTGCTTCTGATCGCCCGCCCGCACGTAGCCAAAACTGAGCTCGGAGAGTTCAGGGCTTTGATTGTGTTTCTCGGACTTGATGTTTTTTGTTTTTAATGTTGCTTTCTTCCAAACTCTTGCCCACCCCCAACCCCCAACAATAGAAACGCAAAATGAGCGCCAGTAAACAGAAGCGCCCTTATGAATGCATTTGCAGTTTGCAAGCCACTGCTTGTAAAGAATTAGCTCGGCAAAGCAGAGTTCAACCTGGCAGACAGGCAACTCCCAGGGAGCCCGTTACTACCCGTTCATAAAATCGAGGAACGCTTTTCCAAACGCTTTTAAGCATCTTCGTGTCATGTATGGATTCCTTCATAAGGCATACTTTTACAGCAGGAATGATTGTTTGGGAGCTGTTGTCCGCAAGCTGGGTTGCATAGACAAGCCTGACCCCAAGCCGAACAACAAGATGTTGGAATGCCGAGCTCTCCCATCACAGCAAGGCAGACGTTGGCATTTGTGGCTACTAACAAGGCTGCTGGGCAGTTGAGTAGTGGTTTGGCTGGGGACACTATATAGTCCACAACATTGAGTGAGGTTGTCTCCCTGTGCAGTTTCTTTAAGACGAGAGAACAACTGGAATAACATGATCTTATTGCGTTCTATAACCCAAAGCACTACCCAGTTGGTTAGATTTTGGTGTGGACGTCAAATTCAAGGCTTGCTGTGCTTTTGCTGTGGGGTTCTGGAAGTTCAGGTTTAGGGGGTGCTGTTCCCACAGGGTCCCTGTAGCTACATAGTATATAATTGGGACATGGGCCCTAGAGGAGTCAGATGGGAACACCTTTGGGCTCTAAGGATACCCTATTTAATTACATGGACCCTTTTGGAATTTGTAAGGGGTTACAATAGCACCCCCCCAAAGGTACCCCCCCAGAGGTTTAAGGAGCTAATAAGGACTATATAGGGCTTAATCTGGCCGAATAGGGTTCGACATTTGGGGGCAGTACCTCTGGGGGGGTAATATTGTAATCCCTTAATTTGGGTTCTGAAGATGAGTGTCAAAATTCACTAGGTACTCACTGCCCAGTACTTCGTGTGGTGGCTCTGCCTCATTCCTATGGCCCTGCCTGGACTGCGCAGCCATGCGCGTCTATTGCGCAGCTTGCTGGTGCCGGTGGCTAAATGGGCCTGGCCTAAAGTCCACTTGTAGTCCCCATATTTCCCTAGGGCCTAGGGAAATATGGGGACTGTGAGTATAGACAGTGGATCTCACAGGCTTACAGGGGGTGCGCATGAAGGATCATGTAGAGAAGCTCCCAAATTCAAAGGACTTAAGGAAGGTTCGAGGTGCAGTCGGATTTTTCGAAAGCTCCATAACACTGGGTAGGCCCCTGCGACATTTTTGTTATTTTCCTTAAGGGCTTTAATAACGGACCCTATATACTAATATTTTTCAAATGGTTTCCGGGTCCAACCCAGAATATATAATCTGAGCCTACAGACCCTGATACCACCCCAGTTTCCTTGGATTTTTCCGCAGTTTAGTTTCCATGCAACTCTCCATTATTGGTAAGTCTTTGGAAGCCAACATATTGCTGAATTGAATAAGGTTCAGGCGCTGCATATTTGAGCCCTGGCCTTTGAAAGACTTTCCCCAGGTGTGGATGCTTGCTGAAGTGCACTGGCTTCTGTGGGCCTACTTGTTGGAGTTCAGGAAGCTACCCGTACGCCCGGTGGTTTGGATGGCGAGTTTGATCTTCTTCGCCGCGCATCTCCACATCCTACGCGAAGTCTGGCGTAGCTCCCAGGTCAAAGTCCACGCATCATGAAGTCAAAAAGGAAAGGCAGATGTTGTAAGGTTTGTGTGTTTATGCGGGCTGAACAGTTTCAGACCTCCTAGTATTAGTGTAATTATTGTTGTCATGTAGCTTCTATTACAAAATACACTAGCCTCTATACTCCCTCAATGAAGTCTTGAACAATCGCTGCCCAACATAACATCTACCTCCCGACGCTCACTACAAATACCCCCAACAAAGTGCCACAGTTCTATAATGGGCAGAGTATTCAGGTGGTAGGGAGATTTGGTAGTTTCCTCAAAGAGGGGGACCCCAAGATAGACCCCCGAAATACTGTAGTCCTTATCCTTGGGAACCCTCAAAAGGTACCCATACTTTTGGGAAACCCTAAGCCCTAAATGGTAGCTTCCATTTTCTCTTCCATTATCCCTATATAACCCTATTTTACGCCTATAACCCCCTTTAAACGGTACCTCTAGTTTTCGGAAACCCCCATTTAACCCTAAACCCTAAACCACCATTTATTCTTAGCGGAAGGTCTTGGAAGCTGTTCCGGCTGCCCCCTCTGACATGGCCAAGCCGTGGGTTCAGGGTTTAGGGTTTAGGGCGGCAAAGCCGGAAGTTTGAAACTTCTCCAAAGCCTGTGCACTATAGAACCACTGCTGAAATTCTAGGGACATACCGGGATGTATAAGGACACCTAATGCAGACTCGGAATTAATAAACACCCTCCTTTTCAGGGTCTTACTATTAGGATCCCTATTACAATGCCTATTAAGGGGAGGGGGCTTATTAATAATAAGGAGTCTCCATTAGGATTTCATCAGAGCCACGGGCCAATTCGTTTCTCCGCTAGGACGTCTTCATCATTGCATACTTCTTGGACCACAAAGTAGGCAGAATAATGGACCAACACCCTAAACATTGTCAAATCCTAAACCCTAAACCCTGAACCGTTTTGGGTCCAGGTTGGGCTTTGGGTTTACATAGGAGCCCATCTTTGGTCCACTGCTTCCAGACCCTAATCCCTACCTGAGCCCTAAAAGAGAGTAACGACGCTTTTGGCCGCCATGAAGGGGTTTCGGGCCATTACTTAGGGTTTAGGGCTTAGGGTTTACTTTACCTACTTCTGACGTGCACGTAAGCAGGAAACCCAACCCTAAAGCGACAAGTAGATCATCTTGCAGACCTTGTTACCCAAGCCCCATCCCATGCCATGAAATCCTCAGCTCAAACCTAGATTGCTGAACACAGATCCCCTAAACCTTAAACTCAAACTAGCAGGACCTGAGTCAACCGGCCCTGAATGTTCGGGAAGTGGCGAACTGCCCGCTGGCCCCGCCGGGCCCTTTCACGGTTTAGGGTTTAAGGCTTAGAGGTTCGCTTAATTCTGTATTGAGAGTACATGGTAGCTTCCGTAAATACGGGGACCCAATGTAGATCCAGAATATACAATAAATCAATTCAACAAAAAGGTTTGTTTTTTGAACCCCCCCGGGTATGTGTAATCACACTAGCCTTCATAGCAAGCCAAATAGCCTTTCCTTCCGTTCCAGAGGCAACTAGGTTGCACGCAGAGTTTGTTCAAGGGCTCCTATGTCAATGGGCCTGCATCCAAAGACGTCCTTCTCGCAGGGGAAATTGAGTAGTCTTGATTTTTCTTCTTTAGTCCCAAATGTAGAGAAGCACGTATCCTCCTTGTGGGTACAGTATTCCATAAAGAGAATGTACTTGAATCTTACCTGGTTCAGGCACCAAACGAGCATTCCTCAAGTGTGCACTGCTTGCGTACTGCCCCCACCCAGTGACGGTTGGATAGAAATTTCAATATGAATATACAGAGCCCTTACTTACTATGACCTCTATTATCAACTGCTACTGGGTAGGGGCAGTACGGGATGCATTGCGTTTTTGGGAGGTTTGAATTGTGACGGGTTACACGGGCGTAGGGCGCAGAGCTGCTCAGCATTGAAAGCAGATGGCGCAAGGATGGGACGCTTGAGACTCGGATTAGGGTTTAAGGTTTAGAGTGTAGAAGTTTGAATATGCGCGAGCATTTTGTCTTGACAACCCTGGCCCCTAAGCCCTAAATTCTAAACCCTAAACAACATACACCAGATCTATGTTCACACCGCAGAGGCCCGAAAGGATACCCCTGGTTGTCAGGAGGGGATAGAATAGTCCAAAAGGGTTTAGGATTTGGGCTTTAAGGGCTTAGGGTTTAGGATTTAGGGCTAAGGGTTTTACCCATATACCCCATATTCTATCTACTGAAGGGGGGACTATAAACCCTAAGCCTAACCCTAAACCCTAAACCTAACCCTGGGACTATACACCTAAACCCCTAAAAGGGCCTTAAACCTTGCTTCCAGGTCTGCTATGGTGGTGCCTTGTTGGCTGAGACCTTCTCCATTCACGTGGTGAGCCACGATGGGAACGCATCTCTGCGAATTTGGGGGGCGGGGGGGGCGTAGGTCGACTGTAGCATCTCCTGCAGCAGCAGCAGCAAATGTTCAATTTGAATCCCTAAACCCTGAACCCTAAACCTAATCCTTAAACTCTTAACCCCTAAACCCTTAAGAATAAAACCTTGTTACAGGACCCTAAGCTGGGTACTGGGAGGCGGGGCTACCTTCAATGATTTGTTTCCCTGAAGCCGTAAGCCTACATAAGGCAGGAGTAGCATGTGTTCTTGGAGAGCGTAGATATGGTCCCTTAAGCCACATCCCAAAGGGTCCATGTAGGTATTTGGTTTCTACTTGGGGCCCAAAGGGGTTCCCATATACCTACTTTAAGGCCCAAGTGTATACCATTTCGCTGCATGGACCCTTTGGGATAGTATAATCCTTACGACAGGAACCCCCTCTCTAGGGACCCCTAGTGTTCCATATACCCCAGCATAAAATTCAGGTTGGCATCGTCGACATGAAGGCCTTGCGGCCACATGGATTGCTGATGCGCTTCTGTCATCATATGAGAGAGTAGGAAGGCTTTTTTAGAATAATTTAAGAGGATCTTGGTTTTAGAAAGTCATTCTTTGAGAGTTTCGACACGCAGCTCTAAATGCAGTGGAATCGTCGAGTAGAGAGTCGAAGCTGCAGTCCGCGTGAGCCTCAAGCCCTCAGCCTCAAACCCTGTTTGAGCTCAAAATCATGCTTCTCCTTCATAATCTTGGCACCAGAAAGTAGGTCCCAAGCAAAACTACCTTGCAAGCTGTCCAGTACAGGCTTTATCGTGCTACCATGAATTGTGTAGAAGTATGCTCAAAACTTAGGTACGTCCCCGTTCCCGAAAGAATTACTGAAGGTATGCAGAGAGGATCCCAGCATGCTGGGTGCATTTCATGGACCTTCTCTGTGAGACAGATATAGTCACCCTTAAGTAGATAGAATATGAGGTATGTGGGGATCTTATTATAATTTGCCCCAGATCATATTCTATCTACTTAAGGGGGATTATAGGCTTTGTTGTCACTCATGACTCATGAATAGCGAAGCGGTCGTGTTGTTGCGGTTTCAATCATTCCCCTGACCCATTGCATAAACTCTATCAGCCTAAACCCCAGCGTATGCCTTGCTACGGCTACGAAAAGAAACAACTGGCAGCTGCCTTCGCATCCGAACCTGCCCGCCACGAAGCTCCAGACGGGGTGGAGGGCTTAGGGTCCCCGGAGCCGACTCAGTTCCTTTTCGGGCTTAGGGTTGGATACTGCCCCCACTCAGTAACAGTTGGATAATAATTACAATATGGTTATATATAGCCCTTAATAGGACCCTTCGTATAGACTGTTACTGAGGGGGTAGTACCCAAGCTTAGGCTTCGGGACACCCTTCAGACTTTCAATCGTAAAGCACGTAGAATTTAATCATCATCATACGTATGAGTCGTAGTAATATACTGGTAGTGAGCTAAAAGATAGTAGTAGTAAGAATGCACCTTGAACACTCAAGCCGTGATCCGCAAACCTTACATGCTTCACCCTAACCCCCAAACCCCTGTAAGCCCTAAATCTTTAAACCTTAAATCCTGAATCCTACACCCTACATCCTACAACCTTGCCCATAAACCTGTACAATCCACGCCTAGACAGGCTGTCGGCCCGCAGACGGCCGAGTGTGAGGGAGCTCAGCAGCCTCGTCTGCAATCTCAATGGTTAAGGGTTTAGGGATTATAGGCTATAGGGTTTAGGGTTTTTTCCAGATTAAGGTTCGAGTCCAGGTACCTAATTGGATAAGTGTGTACTTGGGGTTTGGGCAATTGTAATTAAGTCTAATAGTCAAAGGTTTGGGGGAAGCATATGACTATTTTTGTATTTGTTCCCTCAGAGAATGGCTTCGGGGTCAAGGCCGACAATTAGTTTAGGGGCTAGGATTCGGGGTTTTGGTGGTTTTCCTGCTGTTTTTGGGCAACAGCTTACTACAGAAGCCTGAGGAGTTGCCAGTATTACCCCCTCATTCCTCAAGTAGATGAAGGCCTTAATGTGCGCACATATGAAAAATTCTCCAAAAGGGGCTTTCCATTATGCACCCCAAACTATTCTACTCCGCATGTTCGGGCCATTATAGTAACTCCGAAGAACCGAAGAATGACCCCCCTGGCTGTTGGAACTTCTGAATAGCATGGCTTCTCAATTTGGGGTTCCATTGTCTCGAATGTCTGTAGGGGCTCAACTTTGCAGGGGACTTCGTTTTATGGCCTTTATGGCCTTTAGTGCTTCCATTTACCTAGAGTTAAGGGGGCTTGTACCTCGTAGTGGTCAAGCCTCTTTAATTTGGGGTGCAAGGAAGGCTCCAATGTATTCAGCTGTGGGCGTAGGAGGGTTCGCCAGATGGTACCCTAAACCATCCTAAACCTTTTCCTTTGTGCCAGCAGGTTTCAGAACGACGACAACGTCATCAGCATTGAGGAGGACCATGGCTGTCGATCCGACACGGTTAAGGGGTTTAGGTTTAAGGTAAAACCATAGGGTGTAGGGTACGTGGAGGACCAGGGGGACTTGGTCACATATAAACCCTATAGGCTAGGTGGTT